ATGTAACCATGTGTTGTAATTGACCTTTCTATATATAACCATGTGTTGAAATTGACCTTACTATGTAACCATGTGTTGTAATTGACCTTATTATATGTAACAATGTGTTGTTATTGACTTTATTATTATATATTAAGTTGTAACATTTGGGCTGTCTGTATAATCTGTTTGGAAAGTTGATAACATGTTTGTATATTATAAAATGTTGATTCTGATTTATTTTCTAGAGTTACTGCCCTTTGGATAATTGTTCTTAAACTATGTTACTCTACTTTGCAGTCACACATCTTAACGTAATTGCCATAAATTATAAAAAAAGTGGGATAGTGTTGAGTTTGATGCAACAGTTAGTTTAACCTTGCCACATGTTAATGCAACTCTTTAATGTTGTCTTCAGCCATCTCTGGAAGGTGATAGAAGGGAGGGGTGAGCAGTTTTGAGCTTAATATCATACCACATCTACTTATTATTTTTATTGTTGGAGACCTCCGTGTCTCTTCTGTGTGTTTTTGTACTGTTAGGTTGCTGTATTATTCACATTTACCCACATGATCATCTTTTATTCGTTATGTTATATTCGTGCATCAGATGTAAAGTATTAGGCAGGGGATTTAAACTGTAGAGCCTATGAACCCAATAGGCTATGCAATTCAATTGTAGATTCTATGAACTATACATGTAAGGCAGTTCAATTGTAGATCCGATGAACTATAAAGGCAAGGCATTTCAATTGTCGATCATATGAACTATACAGACAAGCAAGGCAATTGAATTGTCTATCAAATGAACGTATACAGGCAAGGCGATTCAATTGTCGATCATATGAACTTATATAGACAAGGCAATTCAATTATTGATCATATGAACTATATGAAGGCAAGGCAATTCAATTGCAGATCATATGAACTATATAAAGGCAAGGCAATTTAGCTGTAGATCATATGAATTATACGGGTAATGCAATTTAGTTGTACAACTAGGGTAGTTTAATTTGATGTTTATATAATGTTACAGGCAATGCAATGTGCATGTAGGGTCATCTTAGCTGGACAAGCAGGATAATTTAACGGTAGGTTCATAGTTCAAACAATAAAGTCAAGGTAATTCTACTGTCGGATCATCTCAACCAGGCAGAAAGGATAATTCAACTGTCGGATCATCTTAACTAGGCAGAAAGGATAATTCAACCGTCGGATCTTCTTAACCAGACAGAAAGGATAATTCAACTGTCGGATCATCTTAGCCAGGCAGAAAGGATAATTCAATTGTCGGATTATCTTAGCCAGTCAGAAAGGATAATTCAAGTGTCAGATCATCTTAGCCAGGCAGAGAGGATAATTCAACTGTAGCTAGGTCAATCTTAACGATAGAGAAATGACAGTTCAACTGCAAGAAGATCTTAATGATACTGAAAGGATAATTCAATTGTAAGTTAATCTTAACGATACAGACAGGAAAATGCATCTTTAGGTTGATCTTAACAATACAGCAGGAAAAATCAACTATAACTTGATATTAACGATACAGACAGGGTAATACAACTGTTGGTTGATCTTTACGATACAGACAGGCTTATTCAACTGTATGATCATTTTAACGATAGAGACATGGTTATTCTAAGGTAGGTTGATCGTAACGATAGGGTAATTCAACTCTAGGATCATCTTAACGATACAGACAGGAAAATCAACTGTAGGTTAATCGCAAAGATACAGACTGGTAAAATCAACTGTAGGATCATCTTAACGATACAGACAAGAACATTCAACTGTAGGTTGGTCTTAACGATACTGACAGGGTATTGCAATTGTAGGTTGATCTTGACGATACATACATTGTAATTCAACTTTAGCATGATCTTCACGATACAGACATGGCAATTCAACTGTAGGTTGATCTTAACGATACAGACATGGTAATTCAACTGTGGTTGATCTTTACGATACAGAACGGGTAAATTAACTCTAGGATCATTTTAATGACACAGATATGGTATTTCAATTGTAGGATGATCTTTACAATACAGACATGGTAATTCAACTGTAAGATGATCTGAACGATACAGAAATGGTAATTCAAATGAAGGTTGTTCTTACCGATACAGACATTGTAATTCAACTGTTTGTTAATCGTAACGATACATACAGGTTAATACTGATCTTAATGATACAGGCTGGTTAATTCAACTTTAGAATCATCTTAACGATAGATATATGACATTTAACTGCATGATGGTCTGAACGATATAGACAGGATTAATTCAACTTTAAGATGATCTTAACGATACAGACAGGCTTATTCAACTGTATGATCATTTTAACGATAAAGACATGCTTATTCTAAGGTAGGTTGATTGTAACGTTAGGGTAATTCAACTCTAGGATCATCTTAACGATATAGATAGGGCATTTCAACTGCTGATTTGATCCTAACGATACAGACAGGAATATTTCAACTTGCGCATTATCTTAATGACACAGACAGATTAATTCAACTGTTGGTTAATCTTTACTATACATGCAGACACGAATGATTCAACTTGAGCACGATCTTAACGATTCAGATATGATTAATTTAACTGTAGGATCATCTTAACGATACAGACATTGTTATTCAACTGTATGATGGTCTTAACTATGCAAGCAGCTAATTCAACTGTATGATGGTCTTAACTATGCAAGCAGCTAATTCAACTGTTAGCTGGTGTATATATTCAGGGAGGGCAGTTTTACTAGCATCGTTATGTATGAAAGAGGAAATGAGACTATCCCTCTTTGTTTTTTTTTCAAGTTAGTTTTCGAAATCATATTTATCCCGCAATCAGCCAACTATTGTACTACTGGTACACTAATAATGTTATGCTTTATTTGTACTTGTACAAATAAAGTCTCCTTGACTTGTTACTCCGCTCCCATGTTGAGCAAACGGTAATGTGAAGTTCATTTTGTTGTCCTCTACGCGGTCCGCTTTTCAACTATGTCGATTTCTTTTGAAAAATCAGAGACAAATATTTGGATTCAAACAACTGAACCTTTGCCGGGTGTAAATTACAGGATAAAAACAATATATGTACATTGTCGGAAATATAATATTTATTTGAACTCGCTACGAAACAGGAGTAAAATCTCGGCGATCCTCGCTTTTCGTCCTGTTTCTAAAGCTCGTAGAAATAAACTATATATTTTCCGACAATGTACAATGTACATATATTGTATATATATTTTGAATTGAAAGACGTGTGATATGAAATGTAGTAAGCCACCGATTCACATTCACTTGTTTTAATGTTGCTGCTCACGTAAAGCTGTCTTTTTCATGCTTTAATGATGGCAACAATTTAATCATCGCAGTAGTTCACCCGCCACACAATGTTTGTGTAACATCCCTATCATCATAGATACGGTAATATCAATCATAATAGGCAAGCTGAAATACTATTTTAGGAAAATTCGATGTCAAGAAATGGTTGTGTGTAATTTTTGTCAAGCCTTTTATGTCGCGAAAGCCATTGCGATCCCAGAGTCCGTCGGAGCCATCGGAGTCTTCGGCGGCGTCAACATTTAGTTAAAGTTTGCTTTTTAACATCAATAAAGTTGTCAAACTTTAATGGAATTTAATGAAATTTGAACAGAAGCTTTGTTACGACCAAAAGAAAGTACCCAGAGCAAAATTTTGAAAATAAATTTTTTTTATTTTAATTATTCCTTATTCTTCTATTAGATGGACTCAAGTTTTTTGCTGTACACTTAATATTGAAATACAGTATAAGGCTAGCTTGATTGATTGATTGGTGTTTAACGCCACCTTCAGCACTATTGTGCTTTTTCATGGCGGTCAGTTTTGGTGGAGGAAGCCGGAGTGCTATATGGTTAAAGCTTTTCAGTCATCAATAACTTTGTCAAACCTTCATGGAATTTTATGAAATTTGGACAGAAGCTTTTAAAAGACAGTATTCATAGCAAAGTAATAACAAATTTTTTTCTTCATTTTTCTGTACTTTTACTGATAAAAGGACTTAGTTTTTGCAGTTAACAAGTAGATACAGTCTAGGGTTAGAGCTTAATTGTTACACGTCAATTAATTTGTCAAACTTTAATAGAATTTTATGAAACTTTGGCAGACACTTTTTTATGATTATTCATGAGACAATGTCTGAAGCAAAATTTTTTTTGTTTTCAGTATTTTACAGACAGTTTTATTTTACATTTAACAAATTACAAACATTCTGGGATTAAATTGTTTGTTTGCAAACCTCCATGGATTGATATAAACTTTGGACAGAAGCTTATCGTCAAGATCAAGAAATAGCAGTGAAAGAAAGTTTGATTTTAATTTAAATTCTGTATTTCACTGATAATTGGACCCACATTTCTCAGTCAACATTGCACTTTTACACCGACAGCATCAAACATAATACATATAAATCATTTCATTTTTTCGGTAGCCTATACTTAAATTGGAGTCATTTGTTTTATAGCAAAATAATTTAAAATGTGAATACAAAATTCTGACGGAGAATTGCAAACGTATGTAACGCAATGAAATGTCAACAAATTTTATTAACCGAGATATACCTATGCCTTTCGTCATGAAATATAAATCGCTTTGTCACGAGATGCGAAATCCAATGCATTACTTTTCCTGTCCACAAATGTTTATAAATATCAGTAATTTGTTCTGTAAATTGCTCCAGGAGGAAGTCCGATATTAACTGCAACTTTAAAATGGATTTATATTGATCCAGAAAAATTTATATATCTAGTGGTTTAAGGTGAAATCAGGTCATTGATGACGCAAATACACAAACAAGCACCGCCAATCAAGAATGTGTTGTTACTCAAGAGAAAATAGTTTCTCAAAAACGACGAGATGCGTTGTTGATCCTTGAAGAAAAAAGTTTTTACGCAACATCCGGATAAACATTACTTTAAGAAATCACTCCATTAAGGTTCGACAGCAGATTCAACCCTACAGCGTAATTAGTGTGCGTAATAATATACCGTTAATGTTCAACCTATATATACGATATAAATGTGTTTTCTCTTTCCTAAAATAGCACATCTCGGCGAATTTAGTGACAGTCGCAAGCAAAAATAGAAACAGTGAGGCTATTTTGGTTTTGATTATATAAGACTAAAGGTAAGAACATAACATTTTTAATACAATGTTTAAATTACGCTACTCTTGAAAATATTTGGGCAAAAGTTCAAGAAACAAAATTTACCATTTTCAAACAACTTTTAAAAGTTTTTGGAAGAAAAATATTTCTGAGCAAAGATAAAAATTTTCTTGACACGATAACAACTTTTCAGTGATGCACCTTAAAAGTTATTTAATGGTCATTGCGTGTATAAAAGGATCTAATGATATTTTACAGGAATTCTCACATCAGAAAGAGACGTTTTGCAGATTTTGTCGTCTGCTAGAAACGTGGAATCCACACAGAATAAAGGTAACTACTGCTTTATTTTTATTTTATGATAAGTTATGTTCTGGATTTTAGGAAAATTTAGTATAATTGTAAGTATCTAACTTTGATAATTAAACCCTAATGGCTTCAAGACAAAAACCGGGTCAGAATAGTCTGCGAGATAATTGATGTTAGTCAACTTAATGAAATTGGATAGAATTTGCGTCATCAACACGTCAAAAAGAATGGGTTGTCACTAGCAACAAATTACCAAGGTAATTGGTGCACCTTGTATCGGAAGATCACCATGAAAATTGACTCTGGTAGTAGAAAAATCGTTGACATCTCTTAATGAGAGCCTTCCTGCTCAAAATGTGATCTGTGGCATACATTGATTTTACTTCTAATTGACGGCATTGAATATATATATATATATATGTATGTGTGTATTCTTAGTAATAAATCAGCAGGTGCCTTTGGAACCTAAGTAATTAAATTGTTTTAAATATATGCACTTGACTAAATGTACTCTGAAAATTAAGCAAAATGGCATAAATATGAGCGGTGCAGTTTACTGCTATCACGTATACCGGAATAACGTGCACAAAGAAATGAAACGTTTACAAGTTTTAGAATTCAGTCTCAAGATTTACAAGACTGCTATCCACTATTAATGTAATCTACGATAGTTATTTCCTGATAAGCGAACGTGATACAAGTACAATTATTACTCTTATATGAAAAGAGGGCACATGGGGGTAAATATATGACTTAACAAGAGAAGAATCTAATTTAATATAAAAAGACCCAGTCAAAAATGTACTTCTTAAAAGCAGAAAGCTCACAGTAAACCAGATAAATTCTTTTCAGTTAAAGAAAATGATTGCCTGTACATGTACACTGTACTGTTTTACATGTTTTTATAAGGACCGTTTTATTAATTGTAAATGACATTGCTTAAAGGGATAACATTGACATATTGTTCCACAATGATGACAATGTAGCCAAATTGTATGACTATGTAATAATTGTTTAAAAAAATAGAAGAAAAGTTGTACACAAAGTAATATATTGTGAAAGTGCTTTCACAAAGTGGTAAAGATGAGGTTAGATGCCATACTGAAGGAGGGATATATTTGTTTGTGGAATACCGAGGGAGGGGGTGTTAATGATGATATTATTGGTGTGTAACCTTAAGTACTTACAATCACTTGGTTTAGATTGACAGTGGTGGCATACTTGGGTATGAAATGGCCACTAACTGAGGCCTATGTGTACCATACTGATAGAGGGGTTAGTAATGGCATACTGAACTCAGGAGAGTTAGCGGTATACCATACTGAGCGAGGGAGGGCTAGTGGTGGCATACTGAGGGAGGGAGGGTTAATAGTGGCATTATGAGGGAGGGAGGGTTAAAGGTGGCATTCTAAACAAGGGAGGGTAAGTGCTGGCATTCTGAGGGAGGGAGGGATCATAAGTGATGGCATACTGAGGGAGGGAGGGTTAATAGTGGCATTCTAAACAAGGGAGGGCAAGTGCTGGCTTTTTGGAGGGAGGGTAAGTGGTGGCATACTGAGGGAGGGAGTGTAAGTGGTGCCATACTGAGGGAGAGAGGTTAATGGTACCCTACTGAGGGAGAGAGTGTTAGTTGTAGCAGTGAGGGAGGAAGGGCAAGTGATGGAATACTGAGCATGGCAGGGTCAGTGGTGGCATACTGAGAGAGGGATGAGTAGTGGTATTTTACTGTGGGAGGGAGGCTAAGGGTGCAATTTTGGAAGTAATGAATGGGTAGTGATGACTAATGAGTAATAGTATGTAACTGGTACAAATGTATCATCTTTGGAGGAAGTGACAGGAGACTAAAAACATGTTGCCATCTTGACTAAGTTGACTCAGAACAAGTAGTCAGAAGATTGCAATCTTTGAGGGGAGTGATAGTTGATTCAAAACATGTGATCAGAAGTGTTGTCATCTTGGAGGGAAGTGATAGTTGATTCAAAACATGTGATCAGAAGTGTTGCCATCTTGGAGGGAAGTGATAGTTGACTAAGAACATATGATCAGATCTTAGAAGTGGTACCATCTTGAAGGTGAGTGATAGTTGACCCAGAACATGTGATCAGAACTTAGAGGTGTTGTAATTTTGGAGGAAAGTGATAGTTGACTCAGAACATGTGATAAGAACTTACAGGTGTTGTCACTGGAGTGAGGTTTCATATGAGGGATAAAGTCTTAAGACTGGAATAAGGTTTCATATGAGGGATAAAGTCTTAAGATTGGAGTGAGGTTTCATATGAGGGATAAAGTCTTAAGGCTGGAGTGAGGTTTCATATGAGTGATAAAGTCTTAAGGCTGGAGTAAGGTTTCATATGAGGGATAAAGTCTGAAAACTGGAATAAGGTTTCATATGAGGGATAAAGTCTTAAGATTGGAGTGAGGTTTCATGTGAGGGATAAAGTCTTAAGACTGGGATAAGGTTTCATATGAGGGATAAAGTCTAGATTCACGGGAGTGAGGTTTCATATGGGGGATAAAGTCTTGAGACTGAAGTAAGGTTTCATGTGAGGGATAAAGTCTTAAGATTGGAGTAAGGTTTCATATGAGGGATAAAGTCATTAGACTTGAGAAAGGTTTTACAGGAGTGATAAGGTCATAAGTTTGAATTAAGGTTTAGCTTGAGTGACACAGTTATTAGACTGGAGTAAAGTTTTTCTTGATGGACAAAGTCATGACTGGAGTGAGGTTTTGCTTGAGGGATTAAGTAGGTTTAGGGTAATGTTAGTAAGTAGTGGAAAGAGGTTTCGGGCAATGAGAGTAAGAATTGGAAAGAAGCTTAGGGTTATCTTTGATTTGGAAATAGGTTTCCAGAAATTAAAGTAATAATTGGAAAGAGTTTTAGGGCAGTGTTAGTTATAATTGGAAAGAGATTTTGGGCAATGAAAATAAGAATTGGAAAGAGTTTAAGGGCAATGTTAGTAAGAATTGGAAAGAGGTTTTGGGCAATGAGAGTAAGAATTGGAAAGAGGTTTCGGGCAATGAGAGTAATAATTGGAAAGGAGTTTAGGGCAATGGTAGTAAGAATTGAAAAGAGGTTTTGGACGCTGTTCACTTTTTTTTAACTTGATGCATTTTTTGCTCAAACATGGCATGCACAGAAAAAGGTGTCATATTTTTATATGAATTTGGGTTCATTTATTTTTGTGGATACCATTTTGTTGTGGATTTGGAAAATATTGTAATTATCCTCACAGAAAACAAACTACCACAGTCTATGTCAATGTACAATTTACACATCAGATGATATTGAGATTTAGACAAATATTCTTACTTGATGTTTTTATGTTAGTCCAGTCATATTAACTTGTCATGTGTGTCCACCTTAAGTATATATATGTAAATGTGACTTCTTAACCTTTGTTTACATGCTTTATTCTGACTTTCCTCTTATTCATGATTTATTTAATGCAAATAAAAACATTAAATGTTTATATTAGAGAGCCTGCACTTTCTGAAAAGCGATATGCTTGAGATGGGTTAGCTGAATAAAGGTAGTTTTGTTTAGTAAGTGTTACAGTGAGTTTCATGCTGAAATGTAAGTGTAAGGTTTAAGATTGGGCTTGGGCTAGAGGCATTAGATGGATTTAAGATCAAATCTAAGATTAGAGTTTGGTTCTGTGTAAACCTTGCAAATTGAAAAAAATGCAAAAAAAATAATTCAAGGTAAAAGCATGGGTTAGAGATGGACGAGTAATACATTTCACATTTTAAACCACTTTGTAAATGTTAAGTTCTATTTCATTTTTCGTGCCATATAGGTGTGTCTGATAAATGTATACCCAACATCTCATTTTTTGTTGTCCAGCCTGCAATTTTTTTCGCAGAAGTACAATATAATAGTGATCTTATATTCCATTGTCAGCGGGTTCACCATTTAGTCTGTCATTAAGGTTTTAAACATCAATAACTTTGTCAATCATTCATGGACTACTTTGGTCTCTCCTAGGACGGAAGTTGCAGTCAATGCGAGACATATGGATTACAATCAGGCGGGGCAGCTTAAACTCTTTGTATTAAGCTATTAAGCTTTATATATCAGAGGGAAGAAGTCACCTGGAGGCTTCATGCCTTGTATACAGATATGTCATGAAGTTTGTGTCTGTAATATGGCAATTGTCCTTGACCTCATTTTCTTGATTCAGCAGCTGCTGGAAAAAAAGCTTAGTTTTTTTGCCATGTGATTTTCTCACTTATTATGAGTAATAGGATAACTATATTTGCTATATGAGTTACTTGCAAGGTCTACATGTCCATCAGACAGGGTTCACCTGACTTCGACCTCATTTTATGGATCAGTGATCAAGGTTAAAGTTACATGAATAGGTCTGTTTCTCATATGCTGTAAGCAGTAGGTCAACTATATTTGGGGTATGGAAGGGTTGTAATATGTGCATGTCAGTCTGGCAGGTTTCATCTGAATTTGACCTCATTTTCACGGTTCATTGGTCAATATTAATTTTCAGTAGTTAGGTCCCCTTCTAAGATACTAGAAGCAATTGTTCAACTATATTTGGTGTATGGAATGTAAAGTGTACATGTCTGTCTGGCAGGTATCACCTGACATTGACCTCATTTTCATGGTTCATTGGTCAATATTAAGTTTTCCTAGTAAAGTCTGGTTATAAGATGCTAAAAGCAATAAGATCAACTTTGTTTGATGCATGGAACGATTGTAAGGTGTCCATGTCTGTCAGACAGGGTTCATCTGATGTTGACCTCATGTTGATGGTTCATTGGCCAATATTAAAATTTCAGGATTTGGTCTGTTACTGAGGACAGAAGGATTATTTTTATATCAGAGCAAAATTTTGAAAAGTTTGTTTTTCGTATTTAGAATTTTACTGCTAAATGAGCTTAGCTTATTTTGTCACGCCTTGATGAAGTTAAAAGGAGAGACTTTGGCGTACCGTTTTTGGCGACGGCAACAATTTGTTAAAGATTGTGATTAGGTCATTTTATGGGGAACCACTAATGGTAAATCATTT